ATCAGTTAGCGACGTCGACCTCCTGCCTGCCTTGAGGCGGAACATATGGCCCTAAGCTTGCAAAATTTCTTGTGAGCGGCACTGAATTCCTTCCTGTGTTGATGTAGCGACAAGAGCCCCTAGGAGCCAAAGACCAGATGGGTATGGATATCCAGAAGTTCCTATGCGATCTGTTGCCTGATTTTTTTTAATTTACTGACTAGTGAGCAATTTCAGGAACAATAGAAGAGTTCTTTCCATTGAGCAATATGGCCAAATAAAAAAAACAGAAGTGAAAATTTCATTAAACCATACCTTTGCTACAACAGTATGTAACAGGCAGCATAACCACCATCACCAGCACGAAAATCAGCCCACGCCTCTCGTCCAAGTAGAAGCACTAAATGCAAGTGCAAAACAAGTGACTTTTATTATTTAGCTATCAGCTAAAAGCAAAAGAGACAGCAGGCTCCAATAACTTAACACACACCTATATATGGCCATCGGGCCAGCCCGGCCCGCTGGGGTTCGGGCCAGCACGGCACGCGGGCTGCTCGGGGCTTGCCGAATCGTGCATCGTGCCTGCTCTACGGCCTAGGCACGGCCCTATGGGCCGGTAGTCGGGCCGTGCTGGCCCGTTGAGCACGGCCAATTCTGCGGGCCGTGCCAGCCCATAGCCCGGTCCCCTTAAATCACCTTAAAAAATTCATCTCATAAAACACTTAGCAAATATGACATTCTCAATCAGATCACAAGCATAGATTATAAGTTCTAAGTTCACAGATTACAACTTCTAAGTTCACATTCACAATCACTCAATCAGACCACTTATTAAATTTCACATTCACAAATCAAAACTGAACTCAACTTCAAATGACCAAATCCAACAAAACAAAAGACACAAGAGAGACAATTAAGATAACTAAGCTGTTTGTGCAATGCTGCCTCATTAAAAACCTTTTTAGGTAAAACTCATCCTTATGAGAAATCCTAGAAGAGACAAAGAGTGCAGCACATCTCTTAATTAAGTCCTAAACATGTTCAAAAGTCTTAAGTCTCACAGAAAACAGATACAGATTATAGTTACAGATCACACCTCTAGATGTACCAGCAGCACCCCTAGATCTAGCAGACAAAGTACTCTTACACATTTTACAGGTAGCTTTAGTGCAAATCTTAACTCCATTCATAGTCTCATAGATCTCATCAAAATCAGCCACACAGCAGATTTACGCTTACCAACAGAGGTACCAGTACCAGCAACAGATGGAGTAGAGCTGGTGGAGCCGATTGTGGTCCCAGTCGTCGTTGCCCCTTCACCACCAGCGCCGTCCAGATCGATCAGAGCATAGCCTTCTCCGAGATCGATACTGAACAACGTAGCAGCGTCGTCACGGGTGTCGTCGTAGTTCTCGCCCTCGGGGGCAGCCTGGCGGAAGGACGCCATCGTCTTCAGCCATGGCCTCTCCAGCCCCGTTCCTCAACGGTGCGAGTGGTCGCCTTGCTCGCTCTATGCCACAGCTAGAGGACGAAGCATCGGCTACCGACCTGCGCAAAGAGATGAAGGAGGAAGAGGAACAGACAGAATCAGAAATAGTCAGACAGATCAAGATAGAAGAAGAGGGTTAGGGTTAGGGTTAGGGTTTACCTATGCAACTGGAGCTAGGTGCCGAAGAAGACGACGGCCCCCAAGAGAAGATGACACACCGTTAGCAAGGACGACGAGCGGCGGCGGAGGGAAGACAGTAATAAGAACTCACATAATCACCAAGATCTAGAGGGGTCGAGGGGAGAGAGGGAGAGGGAGACGGAAGAGAGGGAGGGTATCTGGGAGGAGGAGAAGGGAGCGGCTCGACGGCGGCAGGCGGATCGAATCGAGGTCACCAGAGACGGCGAGGCGAGAGCGAGAGCGACTCGAGAGGGCGGAGCGGCACGGGGTGCCTAGGTGGGGAATGAGATGATCGAATGATTTAGGGTTTGGTGAGGGAAGGGAGAGGGAGCCGGCGCCGCTTATATACGAAGGGGGAGGCGGAGAGCAGCTAGGCTGTCGCCTTGGGCCGTGGGGGAGAGGGGCTGTTGGGCCGACCCTAAAAAGCCGGGTCGTGCCATGCCAGCCCACGGGCCTGGGGTACGGCCTAGGCATGGCCTGCTGTACCGGGCCGTGCTCGTGTCGGGCTAAAAAAGCGGGCTTCGTGCTGTGCCGTCGTGCCTCGGGCTGCATGGACATTTATACACACGCCTACATTTCCACAAGCAAAACATGTAGATGGTAGTACAATTGGCTTGCAGCTGTAGCCGGAATGGCTGCAATTAATCACTACCGAACAATAAAGCTTTTGAGTGTATAAAAGTTGAAACAATTATCAGCACAATGGCTGCCGTTCATGTATCATGATTACTCTTATTTAGTTATTTTGTGACTTTTCATTCATCACTGTATGCAAAAGAAGGGGACATTTTCCAGTAAACATGTAAATATATGCTATGACCATAGGAATTTCAGGTTGACATCGATGAGAAATCAATGCTACAAAAAGGTGACTCACTAAGTGAAATATACCATCTAAAATTTGTAGCCTGAGATAGATAAAACTACTCATCATGACAATAGCCAAATCAAGCATCATTGAACTTCCATGTATTTTTTAGCAACAAGATCAAAACCAATAAATCAGTGGGCATATATCAGAAGTACTCCATCCATTCCAAATTATAAATTATAAGTCACCTTGACTTTTTTTTGGTTTATCCATTTTGCTATGTACGTAGACATATTATTTATTTAGATGTATAGTAAAATGGATGTACCAACAAACGAAAGCGACTTATAATTTGGAACGGAGGGAGTAAAAAAGAATCATGCCAATTATCCACCAGTCACATGTGAGTAGAAATTATTTGAGAATTTATCAACAAGTGGCAACGCTACGAATTGGCATGTTTGGAGACCAAACAATATATCTCTCAGCCTTCCCACGTCGATAGTGCCGCTAAGTATTTGATCAAAACATACAAAATTCTGATGTCTTGTTGTAAATAAAATACGCCTTAATTGTCCTTGAATGAAACACTGTTAGCTGCATCCAATCCAGTTTATTATTTCGGGCGGTCGGGCCTGTTGTTTGTGAAGTCTGACTTTGAGCCCAGGTAGACGACCGCCTCCACGACGCAGAGGAGATTCATCCATCCATCCTTTGTTCTCAAGCTCTGCTTATTCAACTTGCAGTCAATTAGGCTCTATGATCTTTACTTGCGGCATCTCTAACTATTCGGTTAGCGTCTTTCACTTAATGAATCACGCGTTCTCCTCTTGCCAACCAATCTCGGCGTGCTGCGCCGGCTGACCTTTGCAACGCTGGAAGCCTGGAAGGAAGCAAATGGACCCAGCAAGCAACGTTGCTGGCTGCCTAATTAACAACCACATGGACCAGAACATCTGCCGGCCATCAATCCCATCCCAGCCGGCAGCCGCCGTTGAACTGGTACAGTACAGGTGGTAGGTTTCAGCTGGCGGGTCGGAGCTTCTTGACGCTTTTGACTCTCCGTGCGGGCCAAATCCATCCGGCGGCAGCACGGTCATCCTTCTACCTGTCAATCCTTGACTTTTTTTGAGGAAACAAGAACAAAAACCCACCGAAAGGATTGACATTTTTTCTGTCACAAACAGATAAAAGAAATAGCAGAAACTTCTTCCTAAGTTTGGATCAAAGAAAATGACAGATCCTCATTTTCCTTGAATTCCAGGTCCCATGCATAGAGATTAGAGAACCTTGCAGAAAAATTTATTCAAGCTATAAAATTGTTCAGGCAAGCATGAAGATCGTCTGATCTTTCTATATAGCCTCAAAAATTTCATAACTCTAACCAGGTAAGCATGAAGATGAATCGACTAGCAACCAACCACTCACCACTAGTGGTAGCAAACGCATCATCGTATGCCTCTATATCTTGACCTATATGAATGAAGCATTAAAAATTGGTACATCTGAATCTTTCAGAAAGTGAGGTTCAGCCGGTCATAACTTAATTCGCTAGCGCCTAACCACCTAAAGTCGCTGCAGCTGATTTAAGTTGGTCCACGTGTAGCCTGGAAGATTTTGTCACCGGCCCAAAGGCTACTTCTCCGACTCCGGTGAAGTCAGCTGCCTTAGGTTGAACTTTGAGAGCTCTTTGTACCTTTCCACGACTCCAATCATGCATGTGGCCTGCTCGAGTGTCAAACAATGATAGCCCATCAGAACTTGCACTCAGCTTTATGAAAATTCATGCTAACATAATGATATGACAGGATGAAACACACAGAACAGAAAGCAGGAAAATACTAATAATGGGATAAAACATAAAAGCATGATGTACCAAGTGACCTTGGGACACTTAGGAACATACAAGTTAGTCAATCTGTATTAAAATTTGATCATTTGCTTGTAGTGATGCATCTATCATTTTTACTTGCCAGAGGCACACATGTCCAGCACCTACAAATGCGCTATATAAGTGACAGTGCAGATTGCTGCCTTCATAAACATCCAGGAGCAACATTTGGTCATTTCTAAATGACAAACTAAAGCATCCTGCGAGTCAACATTTCAAGTAAGAATGGGTACACATCACACTAATGTGGCAATTCTAAAGCAACCATGAGGAGAAAAGGAACATAAGGTAGAGGATGAGTTCCCCTATCTACTAGGCATTGTATAAATACCACAGGAATGGTTACCACATGCACAACAGATTGTGCTATCAATTAAATCAGATCAACGCGGGTGCATTAAATGGGATCTATGGGGACCAAAATTAGTTGCCACTACAACTAAATAAGATGTGACATAGTAACTAATTCAAAAGCGTAATAGTGTTGGTCCCAAAGCTTTAACTGTCATGTAAATTTGGAGAAAAATGGTTGGAGCTTATCATGCCTTCGAACTCAAGTCTAAAAGGACAAAGTTCACTCACTAATTTCAAGGTTTCAAATAGCGGGCCATAGCACCACTATAGCGTTTCTAGAGGGTTGCCACTAGGATATGCAGTATATTGACGTTAACGCAGCTACTACTGATATTGCAGGCAATTGCGGCGCTAATCAGCTTAGCAGCAATGTTATTTTAGCAGCACTAATCTGGTCCTCCAGACACAGGCAAGCGCTGCCTCGTCGTTGGCTGTCTGCTCGACAAGCTCCTCACATGAACCTGCAGCCATGCACCAACGCCAGCTCGTGGAGCATGATGTGCCCAGTCACACACAGGCCCAGCAGTGCAGGGGCTCCGCACTGCCCGTGCAGTGCAAACTCAGGGATGCAGAACAGGACGTCGTGCCCAGCGGGTACCTCTAGGACATGGGTGCGCATCGATGCTGGGGCACATGTGCATGATCGCTACCAGCAGTTTTGGACGGTTTTTGGAGGAGCACAATGCGAGTCTCAGCCTACATGGCTGCCAGAGCTTGCTGCACTGGAGAGTAATTGCAAGGCGATAGCAACTTTGCGGTGGGTATGGTCATGTGCGTGTGCAGCAGCCAGGAAGCAAGATGCTCTTTTCTTTTGTCTTTTAATAATCTGCTGAATGGAAAAGCAGCTCTATAGTAGCTGGAAAAGCACGTCACTAAACCCTTTAGCCTGCTATTATTGACTAATTTATATGAATAGAGTAGAAATGGCAAGTAGGATCTTAACTCTGAACCTCATGCCACCAACATATACAGATAAAACAAGGGCACCAGGAAAAATACCTTGGGGTTTGTAAACCCCAAATAATATAATGGAATTAGTTATTTCAAGAGAATAATTTCAAAACTCAAATAAAACCTGAGCTGTAGAAACTATGCTATACAAGGATATGAAGGCAATATTTGAAATTCAAAAATTAATTAGGAAACATGAAGTAAAATAAGTAACTGCAGAGTTTGACATGTTCTCTCTTTATTTAATAAATGTTCAGTCATTATTCCCTCTATTACCACATGCACATCACCACAGCAGGTATAACTAGAAAAAAAGGCACAATGTATCAGTCCACAAGCATATTACAAATAAAAGCATTTACCTTTGCAATCTGGACAACAATAGTCTTGTCTGGGTTGCTCAGGTCAACTTTATGAGGTTGTGGTACAGATTTCGCTACTGCATTTATGATTTTCATTCTATCAATTCCTGTGTTTGACCTTGCTTCATATAACACTGCAAACTGTATGATTAAAGTTCCGAGTTAGAAACCATGTCCAATTCCAGGTAATGAACAAAGAGAACAAAATACTTGTTCGGAATATATGTATGGACGTTATAGTTTGTCTGGTTATGTTTCACACACTTCCTTGGATGAGAAAACACAGGAGTATAATTGCGGGTGATTCATATTAAGGAGCATGACACTTATAAACTGATTCACTGAACTAAATCAAACTTATCTAAGAGTAGCACTGTCATCATAAAAATCAAAACTGTACCTAATCCATTCATAACACGAACATATATGATCTAACACACAACCTCCACAAAAATTAATAGTCAGTACCAAGAAAAGTAAAATAGTCTTTTTTGCAAACTTCAGACCTGGCTACCATGGGATAAACTATATATCATTCAAAATCCAAATCCATCTTAGCCTACCCGAAAAAACCCTACGATCTTTTTAATACAATGAACAGAACATTTAATGGTAGGACATGAAACAAAAGTATTAGACATCATTATTTCAAGTAGAGAGCCAAAACTTCTGAGTAAAAAGATAATGGCATTTGAAATAATGTTCCTATATTAATTCTAGGACTTCAACAAAGTAATAAAGACACTGACTGTGAGGCGCTGTAGGAAAAACTCAGACAGCAAATGTTTCAGCTGTCACCAGACCATTCGTCCCTAACAAAAGGATTCCAAGAAAAATGATGAAGCAATGAGGTAGGCAACTTGCCTTATGGCCTGAAAGGGCATTCTTTTGGGAAGTATTTTTCAACAAGGGGACTAATTGCCTTTGTTATTTCCTCTTCGGATGCATAGCGTGCCACCTCAGCAGGCAAAACTCGCAGAATAAATCTAGTATGCATTCAGATGGGTAGTTTATAAGTGCAAAAGCATCTCAATAATCTGTATCATCAAAGAAAAACAGCATCTTTAAAAATGAGAATTAACGATGACAAGGGAAGATGGGCTGCAATAGCACCAAATCTGAACCTTGACATATGTTTGCGAGTCGAAGCAGCAGATGACATCATGTTTTGTACAATCTCAACTGGACCAGGGTCTTCTGCTCTTTTATGCATTTGAATGAATATGCATCCATTGCAGCCAGACTCAAGGCTTGCAAAGAGCCTCTGTTCATAATACAAAAAGTCATATAAGTTAGAATATAATGCCATAAACCGTAGTGGAATTTTTTTTAAGAAAACAAATATATAAAAAGGGCGTACCCAGTGCAGAGAGCTCCCGCTCTATGCGGGGTCTGGGGAAGGGTGTTAGTGGCAAGCCTTACTCTCGCCTGTGCAATGCGAGGAGACTGCGACTCGAACCCGGGACCTTCCGGTCACAGACGGTAAGACTCTACCGCTTGCACCAGGCCCGCCCTTCACTGTTTCTAAATATGTAACATTAAAAAAAAATTGACTGATAGAATAGGCAGCATATATTGTTTGAAAGTTCATATGCCTTTATCTGTATGCATTCTATATCAGATACATGTGTAATTCTTAAGGGGCATGCATTCCCTAATACAATGTACCTGCAGGTAATACATCTGAAGGAAACCAATTCATTTCCTTCACATAATGTCCCTATTGTTTCATAACATATACATGCTGTCCTTTTCTTCTGGCGCCAAGACCTATTTTGCTAAACATCATTTCTATAATAGCCAATGATGTGTGCTATTTTGGAATGATAAATGCCTTTTTTTGTTAGGAGGCTGATGGATAGCCCTCACTTACATTATTCTGAACATTGCAATTGACTCTGATTCATCTATTGCCTTGACTAACAGGTATGGAGGTCTTTGGTCTACCTTTCAAAGGGAATGAAGTTGTTTAGTTCTGCATTTCAGATGTTTGAGCATGTGAATTCACTGCAAAAACTGGTTGCCACAACCTTGGGTGTTCTGATGCAGCACTCACTGTGCCTTTGGAGAAGTGAGATGATAGAGAACTCAAGGTTAGTCCCCAGCTCATGCATTGGTCAGCCTAAGAGCGCACTATCAATTTAAATTCATCACTGCTAATTGCAAATCCAAATCTAATGAACCTTTATGCCTTCTGTGCAACAAAAAATACGAATTGCGGCTAGCCTAAAATTATGTGCTTTAAAGTTAACTCTACTTTTTAATGACATGGCTAGGATGTCTGTGCTTTTAGGTTGCCCTTGAATATTTGATACGACATGTAATATTCCATTCCTATCCTAGGAAGTTACTTGCTTTCCGGCTTTATTGAAACAGACTTCACTTGGTGCATGTGGTCATAATATAACTACCAGTGCAATAAGAAAAACCCTCATCTGCCTTTTGTAATTTAGGGGAATTAGCTATATGCAGCGATATGAGATTCTTATCTATATGCAGCGATAAGAAATTCTTATTGTCATTTACTTATATAGATACAGATCCTACATGGTCTTAGTTTACTTGGCAAGCATCATCAACTAGATGATATAGGTCAAGGTTAATATTTAATAATACAACTTGCCTTTTTCAGCTTGCTCTGTTGTGCCCGCGGCAACGCCCGGGGTTCCAGCTAGTTGAGAAAGTCATGCGCGCGCTTGGTCGCAGGCTGCAGCACAGCTTGGTCGCTGTCCGTACAATGTCCCGCCGCTCCCGACGGCTCGGCACGGTCAGCACAACCACGAGCAGGCCGAGCTCCGGCAGCCGCGGCGGCGTCCGGGACAGCGGAGGCCTTCTGCTCGTCGGCGTCCGACACAATGGAGTAGTAGCCGCCGCCGTCGGTGCCCGCGCCGCGTGCAGAGCATGCCGAGGCCGAGGCCCTGGGAACGGGCGTGGGAGGAGCTGAGGCTCTTGAGCGCCAGCAGCCGAAGAGCGAGGAGGCCCAGCGGCACCACGAGGAGGTACGGCGTGCAGAGCGAGGCAGTGTGGAGCCTGTGCGAACGAAGTGGTTGACTGTTGTTGGGTTTTGGATCTCTGTGCTATTGCAAACGGGTATTGCAAATCTGACAGATTTTTTGTATTGCAAATCTGTCAGTTTTTTTGTTGGTGACGTGTTAGCTGTTGATTTGTCTAAAAGTTCACAGATTTCTGGTTGCAAAATCTGTCGCCAGATGTATAGGCTGACCCTTATTTTATATATCTGCATAAAATATTTAAACAAGATATTGTTGATAAAAAAATCTGCCGAAGCGTGCATAATGAACCCCACCATCATGTTCCTATCCTATCGTCGAGACGGTCGAAAAGCGTACATACATGCCGTCCCTAACATGTATAACTTAAGGTTTTTATAACTTTTTCAAACCCTCTAGCCAACTCCAAAACATACCTCGGTATATAATTTGGGTCTTTGTTGGCCCCAAGATAAAGCTAGAGAAGAGCAGGCCTGACATGGGACAGCGTAAGAGGCACTCAGCAGCCAGGAATGGTTTGCCCGTAGAACTGTAGAAGCACCGCCCCCTAATTGCATGCCATGGCAGCATGCAGAGTCAGACCAGGAGCGCTCAGAGTCAGACGTTACAGGCAAACCATTCCTGGCTATCAAAGATGGCCTCTTACTTCCATGCGAGGCCTCTCGACCTTCTGCCTGCTGCTCGTCGTGCTTCTTGTGCATTGCTGGTGCTCTCCATTGCATGCCTGGGCATGTATTTATAACAAGGAGAAGGAGCCGTCATCAGATCAGGCCCAGGGCGGCAGGGCTGGAGCGACGACGACTTTGCCAGGGGGCAGCAGCGTGTTTGACACAACATGAAGGAATATTGGCCTTTGACAAGGAAAAGCAGCAGATCATTCCTTTCCTTTCCTTTCCTTTCTAGAGATGAGCATCCAGTGAAGGGATTTGCATGCAGTTGTTCACATTGCAAGGTTGACTCGTGCATGCACAGCTGGCAGGCAGGCAGAGGCAGGGCAATATTGCTCTTGTGCGTGGGCGGGGGCAGCGGGGCAGGCATATCGAATATACGTGCATGTGAAGAAGAACATAGCAGCATGGTCTTGTTGGCCGGCCTGTAGGAGATAAGGGTCATCGATCAGGTACTGAGCTGAGGGGGGAGTTGTCTGATTATATTCCTTCCAAGATAAGGCTGGCTGCTGCGACCGTTGCGTTGCGTCTGTACAGTGTACACTACACTTTGTAGTTCCGAGCAGATCGAAAAGGATCGGATCGTACTGACTGCATCTATAATAAAGAGGAGAGCACTAGACGGAGCTAGCAACAACGCTTTGGAGCCTGAAGAGCCAAGGGCGCCTGTAGAAATTCTTCCACAAGTCCACTCCATCCCCTGCAAAGATGAATTATGATTGAGGGCGACTACAAGGTTCACATCAACCCAATCCTAGTTGCGAGTTTGCGACTACTCACCTAGGCGTCGCCCCTACTTCCTCGTCTAATATGAGCCTCCTCTAACTGAAATTAGAGGGACTCGTGTCACAGTCACTGGCAAGTGGGTCTAATTCTAATTAGACCGGTCGCCATCAGTGACACAAGTATCTCTCTAACTTAAGTTAATTAGAGAAGAACCGCCACCACTCCCTTCATGCTGCAGCTCGTTTCTAGTTCTACTAGCCTTCCGTCGGGGGCCATGGTACAACGAAATGCGAGGCCACTATTATTGGAGTAACTAGGTGTATCGATGGTAAGGCTGCCACTGCACGTTTCTGGTGTGATGGATTGTTGAGGCGGTAATTAAGGCCGTCCCCAATAGTGAGCGACATAGCTAGCTGATTAGGATTCGAAGTGTGAGAACCAAGGACGAAACCATGCAAGCACGCAAGTTTGCCTATGCCGCTCTCCTTTCTCAATTGTAGAATCAATTAACAGTGGGCTCCACGCATTGAGGAGAGAGAAGATGCAAAATAAAAAATCTTATAAGTGGAACCTATGTTGATGAGTTGGCACCAAATAGCTAGCAACTGGCTACGCCCTAAACCAAGAGACCGTGGCAAATCTCTTGGGAATAACATGAGATTCAGAATTGCCTTGGGATCTGGTGCCACTATTCTTCTCAAGGTTAACCACATGCGTGTTTTCAGTCACCTCGGCCAATACCTAACCCATGCGAACTGAGCTCGTTTCCTTTTATTCTAGGATCAAGGAGCGGAGTGATCAAAGGTCTCCTAGAGATTATGAGAATGTGAACTCTAGATAGTGGGTTCAAGAATCTGATTTTAGATTAAAAAAAGAATAAAGTCTCCATATTAATTCCCAGGGCCTATTACTACCTTAGTTAGTCAGAGAAGATTGCTGAAATTAACCAACACTACCATTATACAAATTTTAAATAATCTAGAACTACTCTTATTGTTTATCTACTACTAACGCGTACCATTCTCAAGAAATAGCTATTTATGTTGTCTTGGAATAAAAGAGGTTTCAAAGTCGCCACTCAAATTATCTTTTGATATCACGCATAATAGGAAGTAAACATAGTTCAATATAAGAGTTCAAAAATATACCATAGAAAAATATAAGATCCAATAGTATCAACCGTACAACTGAGATGATAAAAAAATCTGGATTGTCACATTTAGAGTTCAAACAAAAAAAAAACAGAAAACTGGAGGAGTCAAACCGGCCTGGCAAGCAGTTCCTAGGGCGTTCTCGCTACGTGTTAGACCATGTGCAGTGTCAGGTGTGCTAGCCCTCACTGACATATGATTCAAATCAGCGTTAACCGGACCCTTTTGGTGGACACACACACGATGACTTTTTTTAAAGTAGGAAATTGGAGTAAAAAATAAAGCAGGTGTCGACACAGAATTTCGTCCCGTGCCGAGGACACAGGCAGCAAGCCGAAAGGGTCCGCTCGATGGAGCAGATCCACCTATCTTCAGCGCAAGGGTGGTCGGACCCGCGCAATCCCCCCGAGGCGTGCCAGTCAATTTGACCCTGCAATTAACAAGGAGAGAAAGTTTATCAGTAATTAAAGGCGGAACATGCCGGTGTTGCCAGACAGTTCCGAATGTGCGACTCTGAGAGCCGATATGAGGGGAGATCGACTAAATAGTCGATTCAAGCATATTCAAAAGATTAAATCGGTTAAAGCTTATGGGGTTGTGTAAGAAGAATCGGTTATCATTCAGAATAAATATCATTTAAGCAAACATTAATCAATGGCAATAAGATATCGATGATGGTCGGTTTATGCCGAGCCAATGATTATAAGTAACCGAACTCCTATTTATATAAAGAAACAATTCAACACCACTTAACCATCTAATAAAGATAAATCTAATGAACATGTTAGATCTCATCTATCGCCATGACCAGTGGAGTATGAGGCAGAATCATGCAGGCCGTAGAAACAACAATAGATTCGACGACCCTAACTTATTACTAATATCAGTGGGGCATGAGGCAGAATCATGCAGGTCGTAATACGATAATAAGATCATGGGGCTAACATATCTTTCAACTTATCTCTACTTCAATGGTCTCGTGATATAAACTGCTCGTGAGAGCACTCGATATCGGCTAAACAGCCGATTCAGGTATAGCGCACAATTGAAGTTGCTTTTTTGTTCCAAACGACACAAGCAACCACACCGCAGTTCAACAGGATGGACTTTATTTGAAGAGTTGAAGTTGCCTTTTTGTTCCAAACGACACAAGCAACCACACCGCAGTTCAACAGGCGGCGCCGGTCAAAACACCCCTAATATACTCTACTCGTGGCTCATATTTTTTCAACCCCTGACGCCGCCTAAAGGCATGCAACCATTAGTTAGCAGGAAAGTCTTCCATCGACGCATGAGTTTTTCCAGATTGTTATGCATGTAATGCCATTGCGCAAGATTTCATATACAATCATATTAGATTTAAATTTTAATTATTAAAATAAATTCAATTCCAAGGATCTAAAGGACCTTATTGTTTTTTACATTACTTGCTTCTCGAAAGTCTCTTTGATACTACCCGGTAAATGGTACTCACATTTTGCGTTTGCACAGTCTTTGATATATATGTATCTTTAATCACTAAATATTCTTCTGGAACACACAAATTATTCGAAAGCCAGAGACTATGTAAGTAGTTTTAATATAGTTAAACGCGTATAACTTACATGTTTTTTATTAAATAATGTAATACTTATTGAAGTTGGTAGTTTTTAAGGTTTGATAAAAAGAATTATCCTAAACAACATGATTATGTGACCGGGAGCCAGTACGTAGACATGCATCCTTTCTTAGGCAGTAGCGTGCGTGGAAGAAGCTCTCCCGTCCATTTTAAAAGTAAAAATAAAATTAAAAAAGGAGGGCTTATACCAAACAAAAATAGACTATTCTATTAAGTGGCCGACATGTGATTTTTCCTGAGCCCCTGAGCATATATAGTTGATCAGAACAGGGAAAACAAGCCAAGTGGCCATATGCAACAACAGAAAAACCAGCAACTAACGCTAGCTCCTCTTCTAAAGACGCTAGACGTGTCTAAATGATGTACCACGATGGTCTACCAAGTGCAGGGTCGTAGATCTGTCGGCACCCCTTTTTAACTAACAATATGATTTATTGTTGTCGTTCGTTCATTGGACCGCACTATTAAAAAAGGATATCTAATTGCTCCTATTCTAAAGAGGCTAGAAGTGTCTAAACGATGTACCCATGATGGTCTATCAAGTGTAGTGTCATAGATATGTAGGCACCCCCTTTTAACTAAGAATAGTATCTATATAAAGCCCACTTGATAAATAGATATGGCTACCGAGTATAGTGTTGTAGATCTGTCGGCACCACTTTTTAACTAAGAATATGATTTATTGTTGTTGTTCGGTTATTGGACCATACTATAAAAAAAATAATATCTAAAAACATACGGATCGTAAGATAAGATAATACTGTAAAAATTAAATACCAACGTTAAAGTGTCATTTAATCCAAAAAACAAAGTGTCATAACTAGACCAAATTAATCTAAAAGAATTATCCTAACATTATCCTAGCTAGGATCGTACCCGTGCGTTGTTACAACGGGTGTTATACCGTCCGCTCGAGACTCCCCTTCAACAATATCTATCTTGTCAGCCATGCTACGCTGAAAGTACTCGTGATAGTTGTGTGAGAAAAGAAAAAAACAATATGCTATAGTTATAGGCCATAGATTTTATATCTTCGATGGACTTACAATGAATTAAAAATGTTAATGCTACCTTTGTTTCCCACTGGTTAACATCATTATTATTGGAACGAGAGAAATGATTTCTTCACAACACAAGTTCCCATGGTCCCTATAATGCTCATCCGCCTAAAATGGATGGAGCATATACCATAATAAAAAAAATAAACATATGCAAGTAACTGCATGTCAAATATATTATTTCGAAGTAAGAAACTTGAATGAAATTTATTTGTTTAAATGCAAATATCAGGACCAACAGAATATTCACATCTTAGTGATTCATACATAATACCTTTTATTTTCATAAAATGTTTGCATAGTATGGATACAAAATACTATATAGTGCATCAGGACGCTCAGATTTCTTATACAACACTCCCTCATTCTTGCTCAAAAAAAAATAATTAAGGCATCTAAAATCAGTTAGCGACGTCGACCTCCTGCCTGCCTTGAGGCGGAACATATGGCCCTAAGCTTGCAAAATTTCTTGTGAGCGGC